AACCAACATTACCAAAATGACCACTTAGCATCAAGTAGAAAGCATAGTGTGTCTCAATCAGTGTTAAGCCAGAAATTGATCCTGTGTTATTTATCTGTTCTTATTAGTATAAATTTCTATGCAGCAGTAGCAAATTGTGGCTCAAAAATGGAGCATTCCCAAAGTCTCTCTCAATCCCAAGAAAGCTCCACCTCCCATTCCTCATGGATTTGTGGAACATGTGACCTAAAGGTTTCCTGGAACGACCGGGGAATAGAATGCGAAAGCTGTGGTCAGTGGTTTCATGGCCACTGCCAGAGCGTACACACACAATCCTACGAACAGCTAGCTGACTCCAATATCCAATGGTATTGTGCAATATGCGGTAGCCCCAATAGCAGGACAGTCTTTGACCTGCACGGTGTGGACCAGTCAGAGCCGTCCCTTCACGACTCATCTCTGGAGTCCTGCTCTACACCTGTCGACCTACAGTTTAAGCCACAGCATGCATCTACTCCAACTAGGAGCAGGAAACAAGACAAATGGTCAGAGAGGCCCCTACGTGTGTTAAACATCAACTTTCAGTCAGCCAGCTCTAAGAGAGCTGAGCTCCCACATCTTTTGGAAAGTTTGAAACCAGATATTGTGATAGGATCAGAGACCTGGTTAGACCCAACAATTGCGTCTGCAGAAATTTTTCCAAACTTATACAGAGTGTACAGGAAAGACAGGGAGGGACGCGGAGGAGGCGTTCTGATTGCTGTGCGTAGCAACATTGACAGTTTTGCAGTTCCAGAACTTGAAGTCGGGGTATGCGAACTACTTTGGGTTCGCATTAAGCTGAAAGGTCGGAGGTCGCTGTACGTGGCTGCATACTACAGACCTGATGTAGGGGACGAAGAGAGCTTGAGTCACCTTGGTATATCACTTCAGAGAGCAGCTAGATTACAAAACGCCCTCCTACTTATAGGAGGTGACTTCAACCTCCCAGGCTGGGAATGGAACACAACTACACTGAAACCAAGGTCACCATACCCCCGCCTCCACCAAGACTTTCTTAGCCTACTATACGACAATGGGTTGGAACAAATGGTCAAACAGCCAACCAGGGAAGACAACACACTGGACTTGTTCCTGACGAACTGTCCAGACCTGATCCCTAGTGTGGAAGTTATTCCAGGTCTTTCAGATCACAGTATACCGTACTGCGAGATTAGCACTGGTGCTTGAAGGAGGAAACAAGTACAACGCCAGATCCCTTGCTACGCAAGGGCAGATTGGGACAGCCTGAGGGAGACAGCCAGAACACTGAGCGGTAAGATCCAGGACAAGAGCCACACCAGCACAACTGAGGAGCTTTGGCAACTCTTTAAAACTACGCTACTGACAGCAATAAAGGAATACATACCACATAAGACAACAAGTGCCAGACCCAGTCAACCGTGGATCACCCCGAGCATCCGTAGACTCATTAACAGGAGAGACAGGAAATACAGACGAATGAAGAAAAACGGCTCAACTAGATTAAAAACAAGAAATTAAGGAATTGCGTCGAACAATCCAACGACAGACAAGACGTAGCTATTGGAACTACCTAAACTCTGTATTTACGGAGGAGGAAGCTGGTTCTAAACCAGGTAACAAGAGGTTCTGGTCATACGTGAAGAATTTGAGGGCCTCGAACACAGGAGTTACGCCGCTTAAGAAGGACGGTGTCCTCACGTCAAACCCACAAGAGCAAGCAGAGATTCTGAATGAGCATTTCCAATCAGTCTTTGGTGAAGGTCGAGTATACACTAACGAGGAGTTCGTGCAAAAGACTGGAACGGAAGACACAACTACACCAGTAATGGACAGTATCCAAATCACATGTGAAGGAGTGAAGAAATTGATGAAAAACCTCAAGCCACACAAAGCCGGAGGACCGGATGGAATCAACCCAAGAGTGTTAAGAGAGCTAGCAGAGGAACTGGCACCTGCACTGACTATTGTTTGTAAATCATCATTGGCATCAGGCACAGTCCCAGACGACTGGAGAAGTGCATTTGTCACACCAGTATTTAAGAAGGGTGAACAGTACAACCCTGCAAATTACAGACCTGTATCATTAACATGCATTGCGTGCAAGATAATGGAACATGTGGTGGTAAGCACAGTGATGCAACACTTCGAATCTCACAACATTCTGAATGACAACCAACACGGTTTTCGAAGAGGGCGCTCGTGCGAAAGCCAACTCTTGGAGTTTGTGGAAGAAGTCACGTCTAACCTGGAAGAAGGAAGTCAAACAGACGTTTTGATCATGGATTTCGCGAAGGCTTTCGACAGGGTGAACCACAGCCTTTTGTTACACAAGCTCAAAAGATACGGTATCCAAGATACAGCCCTTACTTGGATCCGTAGTTTCCTCAGTGACCGTCGCCAAGCGGTCATAGTCGACGGCCACAGCTCAACGTATGTTAGCGTGCGTTCAGGAATCCCCCAGGGCTCGATATTGGGTCCCTGCTTGTTCCTGGCCTATATTAATGACTTGCCAAACAAACTATCCGCTCGGGCACGGTTGTTTGCGGATGACACTGGCGTGTACAAGATCACGTCCAACACAGAGCAGCAGGCAGAACTCCAACAAGATCTCCAACGCCTGGCTGATTGGGAGAATTGTTGGGATATGGAATTCCACCCCTCTAAATGCGTGGCAATGTCGGTGACTAGAAGTAGAAGACCGCTTGTGAGCTCTTACGTCTTACACGGCCACACCCTAGCTACCGTACAGACTGTCAACTACCTGGGAACAACGATGAGTCGAGATATGGCTTGGGACACACACATCTGCAATACTGTAAATAAGGCAAATCGGGTACTGGGATTTCTTAGACGCAACCTTAAGATCTGCTCTAAGAGAATAAAGGAGAAAGCATACAAAGCATTTGTACGGCCTATACTCGACAATGCAAGCACAGTGTGGGACCCCTACACCAGGAAGGGAGTGGATAAACTAGAAGCAGTCCAGAGAAGAGCGGCAAGGTTTGTGCTCGGACGTTACCACAATACCTCCAGCGTGACCAGTATGCTGAGTACGCTTGGCTGGTCATCTTTGGAGAAACGTAGGAGGGTGGCACGGCTAACTTGTCTTTAAAAGATACAACGTGAGCTTCTTTGGTGTCCAATTATCAAGAACAAATTGGTTCCTCTCCCTCCACGACAACGTAGAACCCACAACAAACAGTTCCGTCTTATTCACACAAGGACACAGTACAGAGGAGGGTCCTTCCTTCCAAGAACAGTGAAGGACAGGAACAGGCTTAGCTGCGAAGTGTTGGAGGCACCTACTGTGGACACCTTTGTGTCACGTGCCTCCAACAGTCACTGAACAGTGCAGTTTTACAGTGCCCTTAAGGATTCCCGACCCAGGCTACGGACTATGAACTAATGAGATGGGATTACGGCTTGGAAAATAAACAGGTTCGCCAAAACATGTCTGACGAAGGCAGCAGAGCACTACGACATGCCAGTGTCATCACTAACATGATGTTGGGCATTATAGAGAAGAAGAAGAAGTCTAACCAAAAATAAGAGGTGACGCCAACCAAGGAATTGAGCTGTTTCGGCGCAGAGCTATTGACTGCAAGCTTGAAACCGACGGAACCCGACCTGTCAGACCAGCAATACCAGCTCTGCGGTCCCCTGGTACGTTACAAAGCATAGTAGTCACATTGAACTGGCTTAAAATCCCCGGAACTCAAAACTGAACCTGTGTCGACAGCCATGACGAATTGACTTGTTTTGAGCGCAGAGCGCAAAGAGGTGAAAGCAAAACTGAACCGTGACGCCAAACAATGAATTGATTTCATTTGGCGCAGAGCTCTCCGTGTGTCACAGACTGACTGACGGAGAGTTGAGCGAGCAGTCCTGTGCAGAGTTGCGTGACGAAGTCCTTATTTGTGACAGAGTACTGGCTGTTCAGCCTAATAGTCATATTCAATTAACTTGATATCTTCAGAGTTCTATAGAAAACTAAACCTGTGTCGACAGCCATGACGAATTGACTTGTTTTGAGTGCAGAGCGCAAAGAGTTGAAAGCAAAACTGAACCGCGACGCCAACCAACGAATTGACTTTATTTGGCGCAGAGCTCTTCGTGTGTCACAGACTGACGGAGAGTTGTGCGAGCAGTCCTGTGCAGAGTTGCGTGACGAAGTCTTTATTTGTGACAGAGTACTGGCTGTTCAGCCTAATAGTAATATTCAATAAACATGATATCTTCAGAGCTCTATGCAAAACTGAACCCGTGACGCCAACCATCAGCATCGACTTGTTTTGTACTTATAGCTTTAGTCACAAGGGTCTAACCAAAAATAAGCTGTGACGCCAACCAACGAATTGATTTGTTTCGGCGCAGAGCTATTGACTGCAAGCTTGAAACCGACTAAACCCGACCTGTCAGAGCAGCAATAGCCAGCTCTGCGGTACCCTGGTACGTTACAAAGCCTAGTAGTCACATTGAACTGGCTTAAAATCCCCAGAGGTCTATACAAAACTGAACCTGTGTCGCCAGCCATGACGAATTGACTTGTTTTGAGCGCAGAGCGCAAAGAGGTGAAAGTAAAACTGAACGGTGACGCCAACCAACGAATTGACTTCTTTTGGCGCAGATCTCTGCGGGGGTATCGCGGAGGGCTGTACGAGCAACCTCCATGGAGGAGCTCCGCAGAGCTCCTCCATGGAGGTTGCTCGTGCAGCCCCTATTGAAATTTCTTCTCTCTTTTTAAAGCAACTGGAGATGAATTCACATATTTTTCTATCGTGTGGTTTTACTGGTAGACATGAGATGACTGGATATCTCTTTCTTTGTTTTACTTTTACATAGTTTGTCTAAATGAATTGTTCTAAATAGTATATCACATTCCGTACTATACAGTTTACAATCAAGTACAAAATGTATTTCATCTTACAGAATCTATCTTCTACGGAGTGCAATTTATTAAACAGAAAACTGGTCAATATTTTCTATACATGCAGTGGGCGACGCTCACAGCTTGCTCGATGAGTGCATCATGTGGACAACACCGTACGGGCTGCAGCTGCAGTTCGACTGGAGAGCTGATGGAGACAACAGCAGGGGCATGAAGCTCTACATTCATCTCAAGGACAAACTGGCTGTAGGTGTCTTTAAGTTTAAACTGAGAAAAATCAACCTATCAAGATAAATCAACCTTCTTTAGCCTTTCACCAGGGATTGAATATAAAGAATACCTACAAGAGTGTGAGTAAGTATAAGCTACATGTAATTCTGTACAAGTAAGCTACATGTAATTCTACATGCAATCCCAAAAATGGCTATCATATGCGGTATAAAAAGGCGTATATATTGTTACCGCGTGTATAATTATAACGTAAAATCTTAGATACACAGCTTACTTATAACCAAATATCATTCTGCATTTTTCTAGGTGAAAAAGAAGAAGCGCTGGAGTCAGATTATGTACATGAGTTACATACTGGATTACGCTGGTAAGTAAAATGCTAAGATCACAGCAAGTAAATTTTAGGGATGGCATCCATCAAATACTCCTAATCTAATGCGACAAACAAGGTGGGCCAAATTTTCAAACTTTGAGTTCGTAAACCTTGTTAAACAAGAATTAAGGCGACAAAACATGATATAACTATTTACCAACGGGTCTTTTATTCTTGTATCCAACAGTATTTTTTTTCATTTTAGATAGGTATGCGTCCCAATTAATTAGAGAAACTGTTGCACTAGTGCTTGTCGCACCATCATGGGCATACCTTGGTAGCTACACTGGGTATTTAATTATATGCAATGGAAAACATTTGACTGGCAACACTTGCCATCAAACGCGACAAATTGTGCCTCAAGTTTGCTGGACCTCCTATAGACTACCTACCAGAACACAGGACTCTCACTGACAAAGTGACTCTGAACTCTCCGGAGGCCATGGTTTGACTTTATTATGTAAACTATTAAGACCCATTTGTCTCTGAAAAAAACATAGCGCGTATTTTACGACATATTCAGTCATTTCTGGCATGTTGATGACCACCGTCGGAGGGCAACAAAATTTCGTGTTTTTTTTTTCAGAAATCCCTTGAAAATCAATGCGCGCGGTGATGCCGTGTCTAGTGTTGTATTCCAGAGCAAAAAGGATATTAAGAATTTAAGACCTAAGGCTTAGTACTAGTAGTATAGTCGACACATATTTATATTTCAGTCCATACCATGGTATGGATGAAATATATTGTGTTCTCTGATGTTTCTTCTTCTTCTTCTCCTTCTCCTGCCAGACAGTCAAAGGGATTCAACTCCGCCATCATTCAGCCAAATTACTTGAAATTTGGCATGGAGGTAGAGTGGGCCAATACCCCTAGGCTTTTTTTTTCATTTTTTTGATACATGCCTTTGAAAAATTTTTATGAAGTTTTTTTTGGGGCATTTTTCGCCAAAAAATGGATTTTTGGATCCTGAGCCCTGGTTTTACAACCAAATGATCTGAAATTCGGTATAAGGGTACCTTGAACATGTGTCTACAGAACAGCAGTCACATATTTGGCATACACCACTTCCAAATGACTCATTTGGGGGACTTTAATGGCTATTTTCAGTAAAAAAAGGGCCAAAAGTGCTATACCCGTTCCATGTTCTATCTAAAGAATGGCACGTTCCATCTGCCGTTGGCCATGGAACACGTGTTCCATTGCGGGTCACCTGAGGTCACATTGCACGTAAGTCGTGGGTAATGACACACACATTCAATTTTATGTGCCTAAGACCTTTAAAATGTATCAAATCTCATCATTGTTAGTATTTGCATACCTGTAAGAAGATTAGTAAAGCTTTCGAGATTCAATGTGCTTGTTCTTGCATCTTTGTTCTCAATTACATAGCTACTATATAATTCATTTATTTGAGAATCTTTGCCAGTTTTACACTGGGGTAAGTTTGGAATAGTCCACTTTTGCGTGGGAGGGAGATGGACTGAAATATGCTGTATTTGCTCCAAAGCAAATGTCGGCCTCTCTAGTCTCAAGTTGTTTTCGTAGTTGACAAGGTTGACTTGAACATTTAACAGAATCTGTACCACTGTACAGCCAGGCTTCGTGTACAGGTACGTGCAAAAATTGCCATCAGTGTTGCCTACGACATAGGCCACACTAATTTTATTCTATGGATGGCATCCGCGCTTATTGATTTTTGCCTGTTCTAAAAATCATCTCAGACGAGGCTCTTGCCTGGGGGCTATCCGCCGTTGTCGATGGTAGCCAGCGGCAATAGCTGGCGGTAACTACGGAGGATGGCACCCAGGCTGCCAAAGCACCACAGAACTTAGTACAGTGCCGACTCATAAATGCTGCAGAAGGCCAGTATGTGCATGCCCACTTGTTGCAAAAGTCGCTAGGTAATACTGGAAATGCACAATGTTAATACAAGCTTTGTTTAGCAGCATTTTGTTCCGCTGGATTTTTGGGGGTCTTCAAAGAATGCCATCCATAAGATTAAGTCAGTGCAGTATTTTCTATTGCTACAACCTGTAGCATGGGAGTAAGTTGAAAGGTACTTCCCTAAAGTCTCCTCACCTCACAAGTTTTGGTTACTTACAATTCCTGTTGATATCAATAGCCTACTACAAACCGCTCGGTATGGAAAGTGAAGTCATCAAAAATGAACACATCAGGCCAGGAATAGGAGACAGCCAGGATAACTCTCTCCGCCTGCACGCAGAAAAGCCTTGGAGGGGCACCACCGGTGGTGAACAGGTATGATGTACATTCGGGATCAATCTGATGACTTTATTGACTTTATGTACTGATTTTTTTTATTCCACCTAAAGAAAGATAACTGTGCACATGTCTTCCATTGGTCGTTCTGCAAACGATCAGGAGATAACAATCGAGTTGGGAGAAACGGCGGTTTCGGTGACCGGTATCATACTGCAAGCTGGAGTCAAGGGGGAACGTGTGGAAAAGATTAAGGTCAATGAAGGAGAGGTATGGACCTCATCCATTTTTTAATAATGAGACGAATATGAATATACGCCAAAAAGCAGTTACTCAAGCAACTGGATATGATTTTGAAAACGTCAGACGTTTCAGCTAGTATCCACTAGCTTTCGTCAGTGACTGAGAGACCAGAGGGGAAATGCAGGTTTATAAGCACAACCTATTGATTGATATGCAAATATAGTGAAGACTAATTTTTGGAATTCGATAAAGGAACAAAAGTCAGACGTGTCAAGACAAGATGATGCAAATTAGTCTGAAAGCTCCTGTTATACAGGACAGGAGCTTAAGCGTTGTCTGTCCTCGGGGCTGGGATTGCCAAATCCCAAGTGCCGGAAAGATCGACTCGTAGCCCCCCTTCCCTGTTGAGGGTGGGGTTGTACATTCTTTCATACATTGCCTCTTTAACACCACGTTTCACACCAGCGTGTTTTGCGGTCTACGATATCCGTGGACTCGAGTTTGAAAGAGTGACCCTGGATGTGTTAAGCTCCTGTTCTGTATAACAGGAGCTTTTAGACTAATTTGCATCATCTTGTCTTGCCATATCTGACTTTTGTTCCTTTTTCGACAAAATCATATCCAGTTGCTTGAGTAACTGCTTTTTGGCGTATCTTATTACCTGGATGTCTAACCTTCATCGACGAATATGAATATATCATGGTTTCTTTACACTTTCTCTTAACAAATTTCGATGGAGAGTCATTCCTGCTTATCATACGCATAGGAAATAGAAGTTCCGTGGTCTACCACACCGCCTAGCACACCCCATGCCAACAGTACCGTAACGTGTCTCTTGGAACCAAGCATTCTCACGAAAGAGTTGACCGTTACACTGCTTGACTGGACAGGGAAAGACGATACTCCACCACAGCAACCGTGTCTGAGGATGGAGATACTTGGACACATAGACGGTAATAAACGGTCATAGGTAGTAGTTACATGTTACAAGTTGAAACTTTTTATCCAATACAAAAAAAGTTCTCTCACTTAGAGCTTTCGACCAGTCACTCTGGTCTTCCTCCCTAGACTGACCCGGTGAGGCTTGTCATGTGACCTCTCTGTCGTGTGACGTCAACACTGGGTCAAATATTAATGTTGTTTTATTGCAAGTTATCATATAGCCAGGTGGCGTTGACCAATCAGAAGCCCCCATTTCATATTGATTATGACACCATAATGTCACAGTTACAATGATACAAGTATTGCCAAGTGTGCTTTGTTGCAGAATAATGCACACCATGGAGCAAACTATTATGCAGGGTTGTTAATTTTTTTGCTGACATTTGTAGCACGTTTCCTTGTTGAATAGAAATGATTACAGTCTTGTCAACCAATTCTTAATGCAGTGCAAAACAAAATAAAGACCATGTCAATAGATATATATTTTGAAAAAAAGGACATCAACCAGGCACTGACTCTTGTTTTAACCAGGGAAAGCTGTTTACATAATACCTTGGTGTTGTAGCGTCCAACAAACCACTCGGCATGGAAAATGGTGATATCAAAGATAAGCAGATCAAGGCGACTCCGAAATGCTGTGAGGACAACTCTCTTCGACTAGGAGCAACAAAACCCTGGAAAGGCAACATTGCTTCTAGTAATTCTGAACAGGTACCAAAGAATAGCTTAGAAATGTTCTAGATGATGAAATCTGCCTTATATTGACATCCATTATTATATCTTAACATGCACATCATCGTCACCATTTCATACTTGAAGCGTTTGAAATAGCTTAAAAGCAAGGTACAAGAGGCATCCATAGCTAGAACCAGCCTAGGATACCGTTCTCTTTTGGCGACATTGCTTTTTTGTCTCCCAGACATCATGGGTATACACTTACTACATAAAAAGACTTTGAAAATGCAGTTTTGCTGGCCTGGAATTGCATTGGATGACTTTAACATGGAGTGATGATGAGCTTACATACGTACCCCGTGGTCTACTTGAATCGTCCGAAACATACAATACCAGTCATTGCAGAACGTAGTACTAGGCAGTCAATAGACTACTTCGTCAGGACGATTAAACATGTCGCGAACATCTAGGCACACCGACAATGTTATTCATGGCTCTACATCTCTCTATATTTCCACAGAAAATATCCATCGACTTAAAAGAAAAGTCATTGGTAACTGGCATCATATTGCAAGCTGCAGGAGAAAACGAGGGGCGTGTGACCAAGATCAGGGTTGCAAATCAGGTAGGTTACTAAT